CTCACGTCTGGTACCTTCACTGATGGCGCCTGCGCAAGACAACAGACGTTGGTCTGTTGCTTCTTTGCCGTCTTCGAGTGGCTATGGAACACCGGGAAGTAATTCGGCATTCTCGGTAAGATTTGGCTGGAATTCTGTAGCCATTAGTTTTCGTGGTTATTTGAATTTTGACAAAATTTGTTGGAAGTAAAAAATAGAAGCAGCAAAGAAGTTTTGTGAAAAAAACTAATGCTACAGAATGGTTTCTTCCCAAATAAACTTCGCGTTTTCGAAGGAACTTATTTTGCAGTGCTATTTTAGTCACTCGATTCAGCGCAAAGTATTTTTTCGTCGTTGACGTTGCTGTCGGCTCCCCCGTCCTTGGCTTATTTCTCCAAAATTTAGCAGGCTGAAATATTGCAAGAGACCGGTCCCGTATTTACCCCCTCTGATAAGCGAGGGCACTTAGAAGTAGCCCGAGCAGTAGTAATACATGCCAGCAGCAACTTTCATCTGATAAAGTTGCCGCCGTTGGTTTCCTATTTCGAGGACTGCTCATAAGCAGACTAATGGCTGATACATTTCTGTAAATTAGAAAATTGTAGCGCGGTACTCTTCCGTTCTCTAATATTCAGCTTTTTTTCTTGCAGAGTGAGTATTCCTCACAGGAGCAGCTCTGTGATGCGCTTGGCGAACTGCGGTTCAGCAGCAATGATGGGTCAAACGAAGAGTGTCAAACGCGTCCCCGTTCTCGCAGTTTAACGTAAGCACAACTTATCCTGGCCTCCATCAGCGTGATCTCGTGCCAAAAGATTGTTTTCTGTTTCTTGTCAAGCATTGCCTGCTGGAATCGTGAATTTGTTATTTGAGCTGACTTTCGGCAGTAGGTCAATTGTGATCATTGAGTTAGTGCTTCCGACAGGTTGGCAGTGGCTGATTACTTCTTTTATTAGTTTTCTAAGCCAAAGCGCCTTTAGCAGCCGTTTGGCCGTGGTTCGATCATGCCTACTAATGAAACTGCTGCCTCGTCTTTTGCTTTTATTTTTTAGGTAAATTCTAGATGCACTGCTTGGTTGTTAGTCCCTCTCCCTATCAGTAGTTATTTTTCTACGTTCATCTACGGTGATTGTCACTCGTAAAACGATCTGTACTAGACATCTCTTGACTGCACTAGAACTTCGATTCCTTCAATACATATATATATATATTCATATACATATATATACATATATCTATATTTTGATTATAGGAGCCCTGCTCGATTCGGATCCGATTCAGCGTGCAGTTTTGTCGTTCGTGGAGCGATCTATAAGGAACGTTTTCCAAAGGTAAGCACTATTTTCGGGCTGCTGTAATCAAAACGCATGACTGAGAAGTTATTCACATCTTGTAAAAAAGTGCTGTTATCAAAATCTGAGCAGTTGTCAGAATCTGTTTTCACAGTTACCGTAGAAAGAATAAGTATATGAAATTGGTTGTAGAAATTAACACAGTTGAAGAAGTCGGCAATGCTAATGTACTTTTGACACAGAAATTTCGATGTTTGCATGAAAAGGCTCTCTGTGATTCATCTGGCCAGTGCAAAGTTGTTTGATTGAGGTTCTTCCCTGAAAC